GGGGTCTTCGTTTTAGTCCATGGGGTCTTCGTTTTAGTCCATAGGGTCTTCGTTTTAGTCCATGGGGTCTTCGTTTTAGTCCATAGGGTCTTCGTTTTAGTCCATAGGGTCTTCGTTTTAGTCTAAGGGGTCTTAGGTCTTAGGTCTTCGTTTTTGGGTCTTCGTTTTAGTAACACCCACATGAGCAGACCATTATTTGCAGGTCACTTGGTGGGCTGTAGGTCAATGAAAAGGAAGAAAAAATTGCACCAGATGATAATAGCCCTTCTTAACATTATGCTAATGCAGCATCTTGTTGTGTGAAAATGTCGTGTAAGGGTAGAGCAGCAAATCTCATGGCTTTATAGTAGTAACATACTTCGCATCGGTGGGTGAAAGATATTGTTTCTCTTTTTCTACTCCCATTTTTAGGGAGAACCAATCAGATAGTAGCTTCATACATAACTTTTCTCTGATTGGTGAACATACTCAGAATGTCCAGCGAGGAGAATGTTTAGCTATGCGTGGAGCTTTGGTTGCCATAGGAACACGTTCAGGTGCGGTTTTTGTGTACCACCTCAATGGGAAGTGGAAAGATCAGGTAAGTTTACCGAAAAACTCTTAACTGAAGCAGTTTATATGGTGCACTTCAGTACTTTCCCTCATTATAGATGATTTCCTGCATTTTTCTGAGCTACATGTTTATCTTCATTAGTTTTCAATGTATCACAGGCCATTATTTGGTGGGCTTGATTCCGCTGCTCTCTTCAAGAATGAGCATTGACTCATTTACAGAACAGAGACTGCTAATCGAGCCTAGCCTTCTGGTAGGGTGCAAAAACGATTAAGATATTATGCAGAATTTTCAGCTTGTCAGAAAAGGTGTCAGGTGATTTCTCATTCGTTGCCCCTAAGTGTTTGTAATAGTGTAAACAAACTTCCTACTAAGTGACAATTTTATTATTTATCCAACTGATTTGGTAAATACTAAAACAACTATTCCCCTCAGGGTCGGTGAACAGCACGTCTCAGTATATATCCACCACTATTCACCTCACCTCCCCCTCAGGGGATAGTTGTAAAATATACGTTGATAGTGAAGCATTTTTTTTTTCCTTTTAGTTTTCTAAGGTTCACTGTGTGTTACGTACAAGTCAGTCACCTGTCAATGCAGTTGCCATTGCTGACGATGGCGAGGGTCCAGTTCTGGCTACTGGGGGAGACGATGGAATTGTAAAGGTCCTTCGCTGGTTTCCACCAAGTATACAGAATGGTTAAAACTTCCCAAGAGGTACAATGTAGTAGTGACAAGTGAAAGTCAGGGAATACACAAACTAATCAAAATACAGTACCATTTTAAGTTTACGCGTAATGAAAGATGAGATATTATTTGGCTAGAGTTATCTGACCAGGTTATTATTTTATACAAGTACAAGAGAATTTAATTTATTTATTATTTTGTATGTAAGGCCTGATTCAAGTGAAAACAACAACAATTACCAAACCAAACTGATTCAAATGAAGCTCTTCTGTCATGCCTACTTTATCAATTAAGTTGCGCCAGGCTCATGACACTTTAAAACCAGGCGTAACTGAACATAAGAGACAAAGAAAAAAAATAAATAGTTATGAAGTGAGACGTCAATTTATTGACCATTCTTTTTACTGAAAAATACAGGAAAGTTTAAATAAAAATTATATATTTATAAAAAGTAACATTCAGCATAGTGTTATCTCTGATTATTAAGTGCAAAACACAAATTAAAATCTTTGAAATAAAGACAGCAATAAGTGTTAGAACAAAAGTTGTATCCTTATTCTGTTGCATATGAAGTTACAGAATGTTGTTGTTAATTCAGTAAAAGTCACTGGAAGTTCTGTGTTGTCTTTTCTCGCTTTTCACACACGACTTCAAAGCAAGTTAAGTTGTAAGGCTTGTATTGTTAATATTGTCCATAAATAAAAATACAATGGCTAAGTAAACAAAATTTGTGAACTCACGTGTATGTTCAAAAGACATCACCATTAGCACATGACCAAACTAGACAAAATTTGTTGAAAAATGGGATCTCTTACATAAACAATAATTGACAGTACTGTCCTGTATGCACTGTTGTTATGGCATTGCTTTTTAATTCACTAAAAATCTCCCCAGTAGTTGTTATGCCATGTTTTGCACATAACATCTATTAAATGGCAAAGCCCAAAACAAAGGACAAGTAGTAAGTTTAGATCACTACTTAATCTAAATCACACTTTTCTTCAAAATAATATCAATGTTAAATAAACCAAAAAGTTCCCAAGATAATATTTAGTTTATTTTGCACAAAATTGTGCACGTAATTTATTGTCCTCATCTTTGGTACTGTCCAACTCCTTACTCTACCAACTTTCTTCTGTTCGACCAAACTTGAAAACAATTGCACTGTTGATGAAAACAAAAGAACACATTTTACATTGATCAACAAAATAATTNAAAAATACAATGGCTAAGTAAACAAAATACATCAGCATAAGCACATGACCAAACTAGACAAAATTTGTCCCAGAGTGGGATCTCTTACGTAAACAATAATTGACAGTACTGTACTGTATGCACTGTTGTCATGGCATTGCTTTTTAATTCACTGAAAATCTCCCAAATAGTTGTTATGCCATGTTTTGGACACAACATCTATTCAATGGCAAAGCCCAAAACAAAGGACAAGTAGTAAGTTTAGATCACTTAATCTAAATCACGCTTAATTTCTTCAAAATAATACCAATGTTAAATAAACCAAAAAGCTCCCAAGATAATATTTAGTTTATTTTGCACAAAAATTGTGCACGTAATTTATTGTCCTCATCTTTGGTACTGTCCAACTCCTTACTCTACCAACTTTCTTCTGTTCGACCAAACTTGAAAACAATTGCACTGTTGATGAAAACAAAAGAACACATTTTACATTGATCAACAAAATAATTATAGCGAAAAAATAAGGGCTCACATGAAACACCTTCATCCCTTCACTTGTACACTAGTTTGTTTTCCATCATTGAAGAATTAAATGAGGCTCCTTTTGTTTTTAACCTTTATAAAACCAAGGTGCAAAGAAAGTCAGTTTTACAGCCTGCCATTTGGGCAAGCTGTAGCTAGCCTGTACTAGCCCACAAGTAATTTCAACTAGCCCTAAAACCCTTCTTTATTGGCAGGATTGATTACAATCCTTCTGTAATTTGAATTTCCCAAAAAAACAGCACTTGCCTGTCGGGAAAGTCAAGAACAAAAATCACTAGCCAAATAGCAAAATCCACTAGCCCCGGGCTATCGGACACGACTTTCTTTGCACGCTGAAAACTCCAACATCCACAAACAAATGCCCTCGTCTGATTTCCATACATTTCCTTAGAGAACTAGTTGAGAGAATTTGATAAAAGATCAAAGCAATTTTCCTTTCATGGTTGTTTTATTACAGTGTAATTCTCTTAACCATTTCTTTTAAATTGTATTATTATTGTCAGGAGAAAATTGATGTTGGTCTCTCTTGGGACTAATAAAATATTACCCTTGAGAGTGAGCTTAGGTTTAACTAATACAATGACTTGCCTGAAGAAAATCAAAGCATTTTGCAAGAAGATTGCAACACCTGGCCAGGGGTCAGGTTTAGCTGAAAACAAAAATAGTATTGATAACTATGACACACATGGTCATGGAAACATTAGGGCCATTTATACGAGGAAAAATAAGACGCGTCTTACATAAGACGTGTCTTAAATAAGACGCAAACAGTACCATTTATACAAGCATGTCTTGTCTAAGACGAGAACAGCTCGTATAAATGGTTCGCATCTTATTTCTGTTCTTGACTCGTTTTCATTTGGATGTTGCCCGTAGCAACGGCAATCCAACATGGGGCACCAAAAATAATTAACGCATGCGTACTATGCAAAGTTTTTCTCGTCTTAGCTAAGACGCGTCTTATCTAAGAACAGGTGTTAAGGGCTGTTATAAAATAAGACATGTCTTAGCTAAGTCGCATCTTATTTTAGACAAAATGTGCCGTTTATACAGAAAGTTTGCGTCTTATTTAAGATACGTCTTATTTTTCCTCGTATAAACGGCCCTATTGTATGCACACTTCCAATGGGTGCTGTATACATTCCTGCATGTGCAAACCCTTAAAATCACATGTCAACTCTGCAGTCTGATCTCCATAAATTTTCTTTGAACAACTAGTTGAGAGAATTTGATAAAAGATCAAAGCCTCTTTTTCCATTGGTGGTCATTTCATTACATGCCATTCTCATAACCTTTTCGCTTGATTGTTGTTGTTATTGTTTTAGTGGTTGATGATGTATGGGAAATGTAACAATGAATTGATGTTGGCCAGTAAGATTTATTGTTAGCCTGAGGTGACTGTGATTTGGGATTGCCATACATGTAGGTAGTGGTGTTAAGGGAGCGGTCAGGGTGGTGGTATATACTGTACCTTAAAACCATATCTAATAAGAACTACATGTAACCACAGTAAACTAAGACTCTAAGACAAACGCCTTTGGGACCTAGCTGAAACTATGTGTCCATCTTAGAGAGACCTCCACATAGGCAGGGACAATCTAGCTGTCCATTTTAGCAAGAAGGAAATTGAGGTTAAAAATACCCTACACGTGAATTATAGTGGTAACAGGCCTGAGTGAAGTCCAAATTGGTCTGAAATCATATGAGTAATTTACAATTAGCAGTCATCCGATTTGAGCAAACTAACAAACCTAATCAGAAGAACTGTGCTCACAAATTCAAATGCAGTCATGGAATGAGACAGAGTGGATGTTTACCATTTACAAAGAAAATCCAGTTGGAAAGTAAATGGACATGACTTTTTGGGTTGTTCCAGAGGAAAATTTCCAGAAGCAATGGAACTTCTGAAAAGGTAGTCTTGTTTTCTCAGTCAGAATGTTCCAAATGGAAATTTGTGTTCTATTTCTTCATAGCCATCTTTGATAACAGTTTCAGGCTTTCGTGGCCCTTTTTCGCTAAAATGGAACTGATCTGTAGAAATGGTAAATGCGATTTCAGAATAAAATTTACTAATTTATCATGAATTTTGCTTACTGTTTGGCCAAACTGTGAACCGGCCAGATTGTCCATGTGACAGTAAACAACCAACATTTTCTAATTTTGTGCCATGCATATAATTTATTGTGATGAACATCCCTGATTAGTGACATTACCTGGAACAACATAAGAACCAAACAGAATCCAGGAGGCTGCAATTAAGCTACCAAATAACAGGACAAATCCCATCAATAGCCACACCCTGGCACCTGTCAAGACATTAGTCACAAAATAGATAATAATTTGGAAATTATTAGTAGTAAAGTCATTACTAGCACAATCCTGCTTCAATTAATATAAGGAAATAAGATACCAAGGGAGATTTTCAATGAGATTTTCAGACAAACGAAAGTGTCCATTGAGTGGGTTTCCACTGTAGTTTTATTAGGTAAGTAAGGAGACCAATATCACTTTTATAAAGCAGTCTGTCGAACTTTAAATTTGTATCATACACCTGCAGAAGACAAAGTTTTTAGAGGTGGATTAACACAACTACCATGCAAATATTGTCGTTTTCAATATTTGGGTTTGAAAAGAAAATTATATTGGCTTGAATTCACATAAGAATTATTGGCTGTGTTAATGCACATAAATACAACCACCTTGCAAGAAATAAAACAATACTCATCTGAGCTCATCTTTACTGATAAGAAATTAACCCTTTAAGTCTCAATCTTAATGTACAAATTCTCGAGACTGTTCTCCATACATTTCCTTAAAGAATAAGTTGAGAGAATTTGATAAAAGATCAAGGCATTTTCCCTTTTATCTCTTAATAATGTAATATCATTAGGAAGAAAATTGCTTTTGGTCACTTTTGGGGTTACTTTAGCCTGTGAACAGGCTCTCTGTTTGGGGAAAGGGTGAAAAAAATCACGAGCAGAAAGAAGGCAAAGGGTGAGAGCCTGTAGACAAACATTTGGGACTGTCGTTCCATGGCACCTGCTGTGCATCAGATCCTGATGCAAGCTCCCATTGGTGAGAACACTGACTGACGACAGGTTTGATTTACATTGCTTTTTTTGGTCGGCAGGTAGCATGTGATTTGATTTAAATAATCGCTTGTAAACAGGTCTTCTGATCTTGAACATGGCGTCTTCTGGCTCTTGACTGATGAGCTTTTTTAGCCACAATGAACGTTCTTGCATCAGAGGGCAAATCACGCCGACCAGAAACAATAACCACAGAACATCAATATGCATGTCACAACCTCTCAAATAAGCGGCAAAAATCACATTTTCTCATTTAAAACTAAACCCTCCAGAGCAGAAAAATCTCGAAAAAGCAGCATTTTGGAACAAGGTAAAAGTTGTGCGTTGCCTACCAACCCCTTTTTTACACACGAAATTGATTACATTCCAATATATCCAAGTGACAGATAACGATCTTGCTGACAGATGATCGGCAATTACAAGACAAGAAGGCGGAATAGCGACCTCAAATGTTTGTCCACAGGCTCTCACCCTTTTCTTTCCCTCTCCTCGCGATTTTTTCACCCCACCCCAAAACAGACAGCCTGTTCACAGGCTAAGGTTACTTGAATTCAAACTTGCCTGTCTGTCCTATACACCCCGTGGTGTAGGTTTCACCTCTGACCTGGGCATTGGAAACTGCATTTACCCTACAAGGAAAAATTCATTGAAAATTATTATTTTTTCAGAACTAAAATTTTTACCAGCCGTTAGAAAATTAACAAACATTTGAAGAACACAATACAACATTTGAGTTTGGAAAACATGTTATGGATACAAAATGGAGCTGTACATGAAGTAGAAGAAGCAAAGAGTGCTTATTACATATAGAGAAAATGAGAAATTAAGGTCACAAGTTTTACAAAAAGAAACTGATGTAGATACAAGTTCTTATCTCAGAATGTCCCTGAAAAAGGAACCATCCCATGCTTTAAATTGAAGTTCAGAAAAAACACTAGGTTAAATGTAAAAAAACCTACATGAACAAAGCAAAGGAGGCTATGGCTCCAGGTGTGTGATAGGCAGGCTCAAAAGGATCTTTAGCTGCGGCATCGATGATAATCCACCAACCAATGAAGAACTGTTAATTGCAAGGATATAATAATTTTGTGTTATTAGCCAAGCATAAGGTGAAGATGCCTGGATATCTACCTAAGACATGAGGGTGGTGGAGTTGAGTACTGATGTAAGTTAGAGTTGTAGCTGGGCTAGGGAAGCTTTCTACATAAGAAAATAACAATCTTTATTATTGTACTCACTCTTCCTTAACAATCAGTGACGACAATGAAAATATTGAAATTAAAATTAGAGTACTGGCTGCCTGGAATAACCATACAGGCTAGTAGAGCCAGGCAACTAGTTGACATCAACATTAAATAGAAAACAATTACAGGTCAGTAAGATACTGTGGCA